CAAGTCCATTAAACTTGACTGATGTCATTTGAGTAGTACTTCAAACGGAAGATTCAATTTAAAATAAACAATTTATGTACAAATATTATACAATCTAACAAGATTTTATTACTATTATTCCAATACTGACTACGAGTCATCGTAGAAATATCGAGAGGCATAGTAATGATATCTCTCACTTGTCTCGTTTGAGTGTAACTCATCAATTTTCTTTATTCACAAACAATTATCTTATTAGTTAATGAGTAAGTCATGTTGAGTCTGAAACTAAACGAGGTAATGCAATAAACAAACAATAATATATAAACCTAGATTCGTGTCGTATTCTTTCAGTCTCAATCTTTGATGGTTCTATTGCGACTTGTAATAGATAGTATATTAATGCAAAATTTATTTTATTTCTAATATTGAGCTACTCTTATTGTTTTTTAATGATGTCATATTTATTTGTAGAAAGGATTTTATTTACAAGGCAAATCAAGTAACATTAACATGTCTTCAATTAATCAATGCCGAACATCAAAATGAAATGATTAATATTCGATTTATTCGTGCAGTTGTAGAAAGTTATAGTAAAGATCAAGATTCTTTTTATTTTTCTTGAAATTTATGTGGAAAATTTTAGTCGAACTAGGCTTTGAGCAAAATTCATCTGTATCAAATAGTAATGATCAAATAACATCTCCAACATTGAAAATTTATAAAGATTACTTTGAAGTACCATTTTTTCAATATACAGAACAATTTTATCGTTACGAAGCATCTAATTTTCTTATTCACAATTCTATATCTGAATATTTGATAAAAGTATATATTTATTTATAAAAATGATAAAACATATTTAATCTTAATTTTAATAGGTATCACGATGGATTGATGAAGAATTACATCGAGTACAATCATACTTACATTCAGCAACATCAGCATCTTTAATTAAAAAAACTTGAACAAATATTTATTCTTGGTTAACTTGAAGCAATCTATACTGAAGCAAAAATACTTTTACATGGTGAAAACTATTCATGTATAGAAACAAAAAATTTATCAACATAATTAATCTAGAAAATTTCATATGATCAATTCTAAATGATTTATTTTTTAATAGATTTTGCATGTCTATTCAAATCA